ATATACAAAATCTCTAACACATATACAAGATCTCTAACACATATACAAGATCTCTAACACATATACAAGATCTCTAACACATATACAAAATATCTAACACGTATACAAAATATCTAACACGTATACAAGATCTCTAACACATATACAAGATCTCTAACACATATACAAAATCTCTAACACGTATACAAAATCTCTAACACGTATACAAAATCTCTAACACGTATACAAAATCTCTAACACGTATACAAAATCTCTAACACGTATACAAAATCTCTAACACGTATACAAAATCTCTAACACGTATACAAGATCTCTAACACGTATACAAGATCTCTAACACATATACAAGATCTCTAACACATATACAAGATCTCTAACACATATACAAGATCTCTAACACATATACAAAATCTCTAACACATATACAAAATCTCTAACACATATACAAAATCTCTAACACATATACAAGATCTCTAACACATATACAAAATCTCTAACACATATACAAAATCTCTAACACATATACAAGATCTGTAACACATATACAAGATCTCTAACACATATACAAAATCTCTAACACATATACAAGATCTCTAACACATATACAAAATCTCTAACACATATACAAAATCTCTTACTTTTATTTTCTTTCAAATAGATCGAGTTCAAAGACCTTCGGTCAAATAATATTTATTTAAACCAATTTCCCCGGTCACGCGTTGTTTTTTATAGTAAAGTATGCCATATGGTTGCTATGGTACCACAGTTTCCTCTACGGAATATTCTATATTTAATCATTGTGTGGTAACTGTTCTAGTTACTGAATTACGTTGTTCTATTTGGTTTGATGTTCACTCTTAAACCAGTATTACAACTATTACCATAACTAGAACCAGTATTACAGCTATTACCATAACTAGAACCAGTATTACAACTATTACAGTAACTAGGACCAGTATTAAAACTATTACCATAACTAGAACCAGTATTACAGCTATTACCATAACTAGAACCAGTATTACAACTATTACAGTAACTAGGACCAGTATTAAAACTATTACCATAACTAGGACCAGTATTAAAACTATTACCATAACTAGGACCAGTATTACAACTATTACCATAAATAGAACAAGTATTACAACTATTACCATAACTAGAACCAGTATTACAACTATTACAGTAACTAGAACCAGTATTACAGCTATTACCATAACTAGAACCAGTATTAAAACTATTACCATCAGTAGAACAAGTATTACAACTATTACCATAAATAGAACCAGTATTACAGCTATTATCATGACTAGAACCAGTATTACAGCTACTACCATAACTAGAACGAGTATTACAGCTACTACCATAACTAGAACCAGTATTACAGCTATTACCATAACTAGAACCAGTATTACAACTATTACAGTAACTAGAACCAGTATTACAGCTATTACCATAACTAGAACCAGTATTAAAACTATTACGATAACGAGAACTAACATTAGAACTGTTGCATAACAAGAACCAGTAATGCAAAGATTACTATAATGAGAACCAGTATTAAAACTATCAAAAAGTATTACAATACCGAGAACCAATTATACTATTTCCTTAAAGAGAACAAGTATTACAACTATTACCATAACGAGTAACCAGCACTACAAGTACTACCATAAAGAGAACCAGCATTACAGCTACTGCCATAACGAGGCCTGGTATTACAACAATTAATGAGAACCAGTATAACAACTATTAAAATAACGAGGACCCATTTGTAAAAAAAGCTGTAGAACTAGACTGTACCCATTTATAACAAAAGCTGTAGAACCAGACTGTACCCATTCATAACAAAAGCTGTAGAACCAGACAGCACCCGTTTATAACAAAAGCTGTAGAACCAGACAGCACCCGTTTATAACAAAAGCTGTAGAATCAGACTGAACCCATCTATAACGAAAGCTGTAGAACCAGACTGAACCCATCTATAACGAAAGCTGTAGAACCAGACTGAACCCATCTATAACGAAAGCTGTAGAACCAGACTGTACCCACTTAGAAAAGAGTCACGACATTATTTTGAACCATAAACAATCTCAGGCTCGTTAAGTGAATAGCTTGTTAGATTACAATAGCTTGTTAGATTACAGTAGCTTGTAAGATTACAGTAGCTTGTTAGATTACAATAGCTTGTTAGATTACAATAGCTTGTTAGATTACAATAGCTTGTAAGATTAAAGTAGCTTGTTAGATTAAAATAGCTTGTAAGATTACAATACCTTGTTAGATTACAATAGCTTGTAAGATTACAATAGCTTGTAAGATTACAATAGCTTGTTAGATTAAAATAGCTTGTAAGATTACAATAGCTTGTAAGATTACACTATGCAATTAATAACACTTCATTTTGATGATTTTTGACATTAATGATTTAGTGTTGGGTGTGTCTTAATTAAACATTTCAATCTTATAAACTTATCATCATCATCACACTCAAACAACATCAGTTTAGTGTGTTTTACACGTTCCATACTTGTAGAACAGGTTAACACAGTCCTTACCAATACTTCGATTTATTCATTTTATTTGAACATATTCTGGATTGCCTCTCGTTAACTTACACATCTGTTTTGACTCGGCTTCACCACAAATACTACATCTTTATAAGAAACTGTGGAAAGGACAAGAGGGGCTTGACACTCTTGGATCGTTGTCAGTATAATAAAACTCACAAGATATAGCCGTGTCCATACAAAGTACAAACTCCAAAAAACACTATACAACATAATACGTCCTTAACTCTGACAACACAATACGTCCTTACCTCTCACAACACAATACGTCCTTACCTCTCACAACACAATACGCCTTACCTCTGACAACACAATACGTCCTTACCTCTGACAACACAATACGTTCTTACCTCTGACAACACAATACGTTCTTACCTCTGACAACACAAAACGTCCTTACCTCTGCCAACACAATACGACCTTACATCTGACAACACAATACGTCCTTACCTCTCACAACACAAATACGTCCTTACCTCTCACAACACAATACGACCTTACCTTTCACAACACAATACGACCTTACATCTGCCAACACAATACGTCCTTACATCTGCCAACACAATACGACCTTACATCTGCCAACACAATACATCCTTACCTCGTACAACA